ATTTGATTTTACGGCTCTGATTACCATCCCCAACCATGAAAAGCTTTCCTCCTCTCACATCCCTGTGACTACTCCTTCCCTCTGCCCTTCTTATCTACATATTCCTGTCTGTCCTGGTTTCCCTCTATGTGAATGCTGCCCCTCTGATTTCTCATGACTGATTAATCTAAGGAGTGTTTTTCCCTAGGGTAGGTGGGATCTTCTCCCTAGGGTAGGTGGGATCTTCTCCCTAAGGTAGGTGTTCTGCTTGTAGCTCTTTCTACTATTGGGCTGAGAGCCACTCCACAGAAGTGAGTCCATTTCCAAGCCCGAAGGATAACCTGAGGCCACAGTCTCAGGGGTTCTACCAGTCTCTATCTGACCAGTAATTCTGGTCATTTTTGTGTTTTTGAATTTTGTTCCACATTTTTCCTCCCACTCTCTCCAGGATCTCACATTTTGATCCCTTTCTGAGTGGTTGGCATTGCTAGATAGGCATAATCTAGGTCTTCTGGTCTCAGGGTTATGAAGGCTGAGGTCCTCGTGGTCCATCATATTTGTTCTTTACTAAATTTTTTGAATCTAAAGAAAACACCTATTGTTGTTAGGTGCCGTCAAATTGTCTCTGACTCATAGTGACCCTATGCACAGCAGAACAAAATACCGTCCAGTCCTGAGACAGCTCCATGATTCCTGCTATACTAGAGCCCATCACTGCTGGCACCATGCCATTCCATCTCATTGAGGGCATTCTCCTATTTTATCGACCTTCCACCTTACCAAGCATGACATCCTTTTCCAGGGAAAGGTCCCTTCTGACAACATGACCAAAGTAGGTGAGATGTAGTCTGGACATTCTCACTTCCATGGAGGATTCTGGCTGTACTTCCTCCAGGACAGATCTGTTAGTTCTTTTAGCAATCCACGGTACTTTTGGCATTCTTTGCCAATGCCACAGCTCATGGAATTGTTTGAATTGTCTTCCACTTCAGGTTGAACTTGCATATTAGCAGTTGATGGTCTGTTCCACAGTCAGCTCCTGGCCTTATTTTGGCTGAAGATATTGAGCTTTTCCGTCTCCTCTCTCTGCAGATATAGTCAATCTGATTCCTGTGTACTCCATCTGGTGAAGTCCATGTGTATAGCCATTTGTGTTCTTGAAAAAAAGGTATTTGCAATGAATAAATCGTTGGTCTTGCAAAATTCTATCATGTGATCTAGAGCATTATTTCTGTCACCAAGGCCAAATTTTCCAACAACCAGTAATTCTTCTTTGATTCCAACTTTTGCATTCCAGTAGCCAGTGATAAACGACACATCTTGATTGCATGTTTGGTCAATTTCAGACTACAGAAGTTGATAAGAATCTTCAGTTTCCTCATCTTTGGCTTTGGTGTTTGGTGCTTAAATTTGAATAATAGTAGTATTAACAGATCTTCCTTGTAAACGTATGGATATTATCCTATCACTGACAGCATTGCACTTCAGGACAGATCTTGAAACATCCTTTGTGATGATGAATGCCACATCGTTCCTCTTCAATTTGTCATTTCTGGCATAGTAGATCAGATGGTTGTCTTATTCAAAATGGCCAAACTGGTCCATTTCAGCTCACTAATCCCTAGGATTTAAATCTTTATGTGTTTCATTTCATTTTTGACAACTTCCAATTTTCTTAGATTCATACTTCATCCATTCCATGTTCCAATTATTAATGGATGCTTGCAGCTGTTTCTCTTCAATTTGAGTAATGCCACACCGGCATGTGGAGGTCCTAAAAAACTTACTTTATCCATATCCTTAAGGTAGGTTCCACTCTAATGAGGCAGCTCTTTCCCAGTCCTATATTGAGTGTCTTCTGACCCAAGGGGCTCATCTTCCTGCACTTTGTTGGACAATGTTTTCAAACTATTCATAAAGTTGCCCAGTAATGTATCAGACAGTGTTTCTCTGCTATTTGTAAGGCTTTCCCTGGTCCATTTTTGAGAAGTGGATGGCCTCCTTCTTTCCAGTCTGTCTTAGTCTGTAACCTGTGTTGAAACCTGTGCACCATGTGTAACTCTGCTGGCATCTGAAACACAAGTGGCACAGTCTCAAGCCTCATAGCAATGTACAAGCCTCATAGGATGACCAACTGACAGACAAATTTGTCTCTCTTAGCTGTTGGAAACTCTGCACCTTCCCCTTACCTAATTCTTACCTGGAACCTGCCACTCCATGGTCCCCAGCCACTCCCTTCCCCTCCTGGCTCTAGGGGGCTTGGGCCTAGCCTTGCCTCTCCCCCCTTTTTACCTGGATATCTTACCACTCCTGAGGTTCCCCTGGCCACTCATGCTCCCTCCTTTTCCTGGCTCTAGGGGACTTAAGCTATTCTTTGCTCAAAGGCAAGTTTCATACAGTGTGATGTACACTGAAAGTGTGATGTACACAGGGTTAATATTTTACCAGTGACTTGCAGAGCGATAAGGCTCTCTGAAGAAGTCATGAGTTATGATGTTCTTTTAGTATTATCAGCAGTCAATGGATAAATATATTATCACAGTTACATTGTCATAGGGTCCCTGTGAGTTGGAATTAACTTCATGGCAGTGAGTTTTGGTTGCATTATTGCTTACTACTGACATAATTTCTCTTCATTATACTCCTGATAATCACGAACTGAACAAACAATGGAAACAACAGAAATAGTATATGATTACTAATGGGCAGATTGCTCCTGGAACATAATATTTTAAATATACATGTTGCAAAATATAATTGGGGCTTATTATTATTAAAGAGTAATTTTCCCTGTAAAAAAAAGACTTGAATAAAGTATATACTTTAGTAATTTTAGAAAGCTGTTCTATTTTTTTCTGTGTGTTTAGTTGTCCTATAAAAATAAAAAATAAAATAAAACAAACCAAGATGTAATAAAGAATAGTGGGCATTCACATTCAGACAATTTGTGTATTGTTACAAATGTGTTTAATTACAACTGCTTCAAAAGTATCCCAGATTTTCAAAAGTTTTATTTTAAGTTTGAAGACTAGACAAGGCCATACTGATTTTACAACATCCTACATGATTTAAGTATATATATATACAAAGAAAAAAAAAAAAAACAACAATATTGGAATATTACACAGCTTGAGAGATTGCAAAGATTATTTGTGTCTTAGTTATTTTTGTACTAACTGACACATCAGGTGCCAGTATTGAATATTAAATTCCATATTTTGTTGACTAGCAAAGATACAATCATTAGTACCCTAAGTCTTCAAAATTCATACTAATCTTTATGAAGTCATTCAGAAAGAGAAAGTCAACCCTAAAATAAGAATTAGTGACTATGATAAATGCTTTTAATAGGACATAAATAAAATGCATATGTTTGGATTTAATATCTTAGAATATAAACTTTGTAAATTATAGTGATTCAGTATGGTGAAGACTGGTGATTCTATTGCATATTCTGCTTGTGAGATTTTACGCAGTTTACTGTGAAGTTAAATAGAATTACTCTGCTCAGTTTGGTGTAATTGACACAAGTGACATAGAAGCTAACAACCACATGATAGTATTTTTCAGTATTTTCCCATGTGAGACTCCCTTAGTTGTCATCACTTTTGGGTATGTTTGGACAAAACGAATGTCCCATTGTATCTGTCATGCCAGTGAATAGCCTACAGAGCAGAGAAAATGTGCAAGCCAGAGAAAGCCATTTCAATATATTTCTAAAATGTAACAAATATAATTTTAACCAACTTCCTTGGAAAATAATCTCTTCTTATAAAGCTGTCAAAAAAACAATTCAAAACAGCATCTGAAACCATGAGTAAGTTTGAAAACAATAAGTCATCACAAAACATTCTTATAATTTTTAAACCTTTCTTTTCAGGTTGATCTGCAAAGGAAAGTGGCTAGAACTTTGATGGGACAGGAATATGGTTTTAAACCTAGAAAGAAATTAGGACCCTTGGTTAGATATTAAATATTTGCATATTTTGGGACATAAGTTATTATTTGTTACATGACTCTACAATTAGCCAATGAAAACATTCAAAATTTCTAATTTGAAATATCTTTAAAAAAGCCAATATTGAAAACATAGCAATTCTGCATTTGAATGGTATTGAAAACTGATTAACACTTTAGATGCTTCAAACCAATAATTTCATAAATAAGAGCATAAAGTAGAAAATGTATGGGCGAAGGACAAACTAGTCTCCTTAAAACCAATTAATTTCACCATTATTTAAAAAATGCCATTATGATTGACTTTCTTTTTAAATTCTTCACTATGATTGAAGACCACTCCATATATACATCATTAAGAAATGCTGTTAACACATGGACAGACAAGACAGTAATAATCTAGTGGCTTTTGTTATGCAGCACAGACACACAAAAAGAAAAACTTAGCAATGTTGCACATGAACTCAACATTTCCTACACAAACCACAATTTCTTTTCCAGGACTCTTAATTTAAAATTCTGATAATTCTGTGTCTAAGCCTTATAGAATAAATACTTGTAAAAAGTATAAATTAGATATTGAGGACTTTTATGGAGGCAGTGTGAGCTTTAATTTGAGAGACATGTCAATGAAACCTCCATTATAAATAACAAATTGTTATGATAATTGCTTATTTTCTCAGGACCTTAGAAGCAAAATAAATAGAAATCAATTCCATCTTTAAAATGGTTTACTACTTTGTCATTAGTAACTACTTTTCTGCTCACAGATAACTACACAATGTGCTTTCCTGGGAAACCACTACCTGTTTCAGATCTCAATAAAATTTTAGTTTCACAGGAAATGCAGAAATGAACAAAGTAAATATGAGTATGTTTGGCCAAGTTATGCAGCACTGTTAGTATTTGCTTGTTAAAAAAAAAAGAAAGAAAGAAAAATGCAAATAATTCATTGTTCTATTATTTAAAAAGAAGATAAGGCCATGTAAAAACCATCAAACCGAAGGTTTGAATTTAGTTTTAAAGAGACATAATACATATTTTTGTTTGCTTATTATTCTGTCAAATGACAGTATGCAGTTCTCTATAAAGGAAGTATTTCAAAATTATATTAGTACAGTTTCCTTCAAATAAAATTGCAGACCCAATCTACTGATAATAAATACAGCTCAATCAACAAATATTCAATTATGTTCCATATATATAAAGAAACATAGCCTTTCTTTTAGGCAAATAATAGGAAGAAATTCAACCAAAGAAAGACGTATTCACATAATATAATATAAAGCATATAGAGTAGAACTAAAATAAAATAAATCAATGGAAGCAAAAAGAAGATTATAATATCAGTACTGCATATTACAGATTCTTCTTCAAAATTCTGTTATAAACACTGACAGTTTTTGGTAGGTACAGGGAAACAATTAGGGTAGTAGAGTCATTACAGAAGGGAGAAAAAAACTTATTGCTATCATTGCAGTATTCCTTTTGTAAGAATTGATTATTGATTTTAAAAGCTGTACTAACATTTGTTGCTATTTAATAACTATGAGATTTCTCTTTACCCTTGCTATAAAATAATGCTACTTTCTTTCCCCAATACATTTCAAACAGTGTGAATCACTCAGAAAACAATGAGAAAAGTAATTCACAGTTAATGTGATGTTACTAAAGGAATTTAAACAATAAAAATCAAACTGAAGCATTGAAAAGGCAGCCATAGACCTCCTTAAAGACAGTGGCCTACCATAAATTGAGCACTTTTTCATGAAAAAAACTCCATTCATTTTCCTACAGATTTTGCACAGTTCATTCCATGGAGATACTTTTGGGGAAGTAAGAGGGTTATGGAACGTGTGGTCTCCTCATTCCTCCTCTGTGCATCCCAGAAGCTCTGATCGAAGTGTGATTCTCCCATACCAGGACCAAGGAAGGATTCTTATGTGCCGTGCATAGATGGGAGGGTCAATGACATTTTTTCTATGGGTGTCATTGTCAAAGTTACCCTGGAAAACCTAATAAAGAAAAACAAGGAATACCAGTTAGAAAACCTTCTGTTTCATTGGAATTCTTTTAATTATTTATTGTTTGGAAAATGTTCTCCAAGTCTGAGGTCTGAAAATTGTTCTCTTTTATCTTCTTCAAAATATAGCATGATGTCTTTTTAATAGTCTTTAAAAAATTATATCGCAAACC